CCCATTTCAAAGCTGCTCTTTAGAAGGCCAGATTCTGAAGATGAAACTCAAATACTTTGGCCACCTAATGAGAAGGAAAGACTCATTAGAGAAGAGCCTAATGCTGGGAAAGACTGAGGGCAAAAGAAGAAGGGACAGCAAAGAATGAGGTGGCTGGATGGAGTCACTAAAGCACTAGGCATGAGCTTAAATGGACTCCGGGGATGGTAGAGGACAGGAAAGCCTTGAGGAACATTGTCCATGGTGTTGCGATGGGTCGGACAAGGCTTCACAACTAACAACAACAAACCATCTCATAACAATGATTACATCTCCCTCAGAGTTTTTCTCTCTAGTAGCATGATGAAAAGCAAAAAATAAGATTCTGCATTTGTAGTGTAATTGGTGCTGAAGTTTACCCTTTTGCATGATTACAACCAACAATCAAACCAAACAGTGAAGAAGAGTAAAGGGAAGCAATTGAAAGCAAATATCTCTTTGTACACAGAAATAAGAAGAGAAAACAAAAAGAGCAAGCTCTTTTTAAACAAAAAAGTAGTATAAGGTAAATTTGATATACTCTCTTTGGTTTGCAATCACATGTGGTAGCAGAGAACACTTTTAAAGAATACTGTACTTACTTATCTAAATGAGAATATCAATGTTATTTACAAGAGACTACACAGAATTAAAAAAAATCCTTTAAAATATAAAAGAACACATATATTAAATTGTTTATATATAGTAACATGACTGAAGATGGAAAAAATGTATAGCTGGAGACAGTATCCTTCATGAAATCTAATTCTGTGACTAGATAGGCTCTCCCTGGTCATCTCCAAGGAATGTATATTGCCTTCTCCCACTAACAAATGAGCCCCAGCTATTAGATAAGTCTTTTAAAGTAACTAATCTTTCATACAATAAATATGTAAATGAAGTTGTTCTTTCATTCCATTCAATAATGTTGATCCATGCTTGACTTATTCAGCTGGTCAGAAGCTCCGGAAGCAGGGTAGAAAAATTTAATTTCCATTTAGATACATTGTTACTAGGGATGCAACAATCCTTCTACAAATATATGTAAACATACAAAAAGAAGGAAGAATACTAACAGATTATTATACTTAGCTAAAAGCAATTATATATTTGTGAAACAGTAGACAGCCTTTTTTTACTTCTTCAATAACTGCATTGTATTTTTTAGCTTCTATCAAATGTGTGTGAGAGAGTACTCTTTTTTAAATAAAAATAATCTTTGTGGTTTGAAAATCCGCCCCTTTCAGTCAACTGCAAAACAGCATCATGTCTGATCATTTAGCGAACAATCAGATATATTTGGTTGACTGTTTATTCTATTCCATCCCGCCAAAAAGAGTTCCCATTAAGTTGGAAAGGATAAGCAAAAACATCAACTGAAACATTTTTCTTAAGTTGAAATTTCTTTTTCTTTCGAAAATAGGGGGAGGGGACCATTCTGGCTGACCTTTAATGTGGAAAAGAACATACAGTTTTTCAAGAGAGAACAAAATATGACTTTATAACACAAATGGTTCAGAGGCAATAAAAACTGATTTTTTAATTTAAATTTTCTGCATAGCTTTGAGGAACCATATATTTAAATTGCAGTTTAAAAAGCTATCTTGATAAATTTTCTTTCAAATTAAAGCTGATTAAATTGTTTTCTCTGAAGTAAAGTTTTCTTGTACTCACCTAATTACAGTAAAGAGAAAAATTAGCTCCAGCTGCTCTGCTAACATTCACTGGTCTTCTTTTATCCCTGAGCTATCCATTCATCCATCTATTTTAGTGGATTATAAGCAGCATCCTTCTGGAAACTGCTTTAAAAATTAGCATCTAGTTTTTCTCTTTAGTCTTTGTTATCCATCTACTTTCTATTTAGATTACATTTATATCCAATTTTTATTTTGCACAATTCAAGGTGATACACATAATCTATTTTTGCAACAATATTCATTCTATGAGGTGGGTTGGGCTGAAAGAAAGTAAATGACTCAGTCATCCAACCAGATTTCATGCCTAAGGACCAGAAATCCTGTTTTTTAGTACTAGGGACTGGCCAGGATGATATGAATGACTCAGAACATTATATACTGTATATATAGGCTTACAGAGAGAGAGAGAGAAACCACTTTGAGCACAAAATAAATTTAGGAATGAAGATGAATAAGCAGAATAAACAATAGCCCCACCTGGTGGTATTTTAGTTATCTATTTAAAGGAATCTCTTCATTAATTTAATTTAGGCAGTAATGTGTTAGGATATATTCTGTATCATTTAATGTAAATATATATTTACATTTACCATTGTAGTATAGGAGTTTCCCTCAAGAACAGACCTTTTTCCATCAAGAACATTTCTAATTTATACAAAAATCAGATCTTTTACATTAATCTGTAATAACAGTTGCCCAGCAAAAAACAAAAGTAGATGCAAAGAAACTCAACTGGATATATATGTGATCATTAAGTACTAAATATAACACAAAAGCAGTATTTCCAAAAATACTGGAAAGCTGTAGGCATTCCAGATCTGAAACTGCACAGAACTGATATGTGTTCATTACAATGGCTAAGGTCTGCAGTTCTGCCACATTTCCACCTCTACTATGAACTACATAAATGAGTGTTAGCTGTGTTTAAAAGACAGTAACTGGAAATCTATGCCACTTTCTAAGTCAATCAATATTATATTAGTAAGTTAATGACCAGATCCTTTCCCCACTATTCTACTGCCAATGCATTGATTTACTCATTTCATATACCCAGGATTAGAGCCAGTGGCTTTATTGTTGTTGTTGTGATAGTGCTTTTGGTAAATACTAGAAATAGTTAATTATTACCTAAAAGTATTGTGACACTGCAATTTAAAAAGGAAAACAAAAACTTTTAACTCTTCAGAAATAGATTCAGAATGATGGGGAAAAAATGAACTAATAGAAGATGAGGGTTAATTGAAATGCTAAGTGCACTGAGAGTTTGTCAGCTTGCCTGTAACTACCTATCATTTCCATTACCCAAATCTTCAAAAGAAACTTGATCTAGGCTGGCAATTGTCTCAATATCTGCAAAACTCAAAAGACAGAGAATGCTGCTATGAAAACCTGTGTAGAACAAAGAGTTGGATGATGAAGTTCCCACAAACGACAGATTCACTTACATGTTCTTCACAGCTGTAGCCTTTTTCAAGTGAAAAGACCAGCTTTGTTTCAGTTTTGAATATAACACAGCAGAGAGATTAACAAACCATTTGGCCCCTTGACACAGTTAGCATGATGAGACCAGACAACTATGAAGCTGCTCCTGAACTGATGAATTCTACCTTTTCTCCAAGAACAGAAGGAGGAGTCTTTAACTTGTATCACTAGGATAACAATCCTATAATGTAAGTTGGGTGGAGAATAAGTGACTGGCTGGGCCACATTTCATGTCTGAAGATGGAGGAATGCAATACCTTATTATAAAATGCTATTGATCATTCAGTTAATTGAATTACAATGCTGAATAATGAAATGATCAATGAAACAAAATGGAAATATATCACTTGAAACAGACAGGAGTTACATGGGTATCGTGTTTTTTATGGACCTGTAGACATTTGTAGAGGCCGGGGGATAGTAGAGGACAGGAAGGCTTGGAAGAAAGTTGTCCATGGGGTCATGTCACGACAACTGACATGTATAACAACTACTCAGTCCTATTTTTTGTTACGATAATATTTAAGGGACACATAAAATTTACTATATAAATATCATCTTGCTAAAATCTGTCTTATCACAATAAAAACACTCAAATACAACGTCTGGTAATTACTAGCTATATAAATTGTGCAAATAATTAGAAAGTGTCTGTCTTCTGAATATGCAAAAACTATGTAATTATCTGTCTAGCCTAGAGAGGGCAATAGCCCCCACAAAAGCAAGCAATTAAAAAAAGAATGCAAGGATACTGAAATCAATTTTTATTTTAAAAAGAAAACTACATTTTAAAAAGACATTTGTATTTTCAGTCAATAAAAATGGACAAATATAAAAAAATATTTTTTTATCATTTGTATTGCTCACTGATTTAATTCTACAAAATTGTATATGTCATTTCCAAAACTTTACAGGGAATAAAGATCACACCTCTGAATAGGCACAAGCTTAGATTTCAGAATTTTCTCTAAAATGTCTTTATATTTGGAAAGAAAGCATAGTCAAGACAGAAATTTTTGAGATTACATTGAAGACACAAAAATGGTAAATACTATATGTTCCATCAGATAAAGGAATGTTCTTGTTTCAGAGATTTTACATGAGGTATGTAATAACTGAAACTATTTTAAAATGTAAATTGGTTACCATTTAACCATATATAGATAAACCATTAACTCTTATTTTAACAGGGGGATTTTTAAACTGAGGAGAAGGATTTAGTGATGGGTAACTAACTTGAATATATTTGGGGCTACTAAAATAAATGTGTTAATTCTTGTAAAGAGTTTCCTAGGAAAGCAATACCATGAACATTGTGCTTAAGGATTCTAACAAGGCTATGTATGAGCTCTACAAAACAGTTCAGGAATAATTGGTGTGAGTTTAACAACATCCCTCTTCTGTTCATTAAAGCAGACCCTCCTTTTTCAAGCTTTAATGAATAACGAAGAGGTACTCATGGGAGGTCCAAGATACTTCTTCCAAATAATTTTTGAAGCATGCACAGCCCAAATGCAGTATGGTGAATTGATACATTAGTTGCCTTTACTGTATCTCTCAGAGATAAACAAAATTCTGAGCATATAAAAGGATTATTTTGATACTTACATAACATTTTGTGTTATGTATAATACTTTTCAGGAAACAGCTATGCTTCTGTGAAAGCATCTAAAGTTTAGAAGGAAAATCCCATAATGGCTAAGAGAACCTTTCATCAAAGCTAAAACTGGAGATCTTCTTAACATTACTGCTTTCATTTCCTGTCAGCAAATTTCACATTGATGGAATCTGCAGGCGTCAATAATCCATGAGTTTTGGCAAAAATTGATTTAGTTTTTGGAGATCTTTTTATTTCAAAGTGCTGAAGTAGCTAATAAGAAAAATGGAATAATATCAGGATTAATAAAAATGAAATATCTGAAAGGCAACAGTAACAGTTCATAGTTTTAGAAGTCAATATCTTATAAGATATACTATACACTGTATTTATTTAATGATACAAAAGCCAAACAAACATGGCAGAAAAAGATAAAAGGAAAGAAGGAAAAAATATATTGTTAAAAAACAAAAAGCTATATACAGAAATGTATATAGAAAACTTTCAAAAATTAAAAAAGTGCAATTAACTATCTGAGAATGAATGTGATTGAAACAAATGTAGTGACTCTGCTAGAGCTATATAATGACCAGTGAACTAAGAGGAGAATAGGAAGGGGTTAAAAAAAGGCATTACGGTATTAGATTGACTCACAGTGCCATCTAGGAAGGACAAGACAATGCACATGAGAAACTGTTTGCTGTTTCTTCCAGTGCAGGGTTTCATTCCACTATAGAATCACAGATAACAAAATAATGAGAACATGCCGATAGAATGAGATTGCTTTCCAAAGTCTATACTCCTCATCCCCTTCTCATCTTATAGAAGTTATCTATTCCATTTTGATGGCCCCAAATAGTGTAAAAAATGTCACTTTGCAATAAGAAACAGTCAAAGTTTCTATTAATTCCAGAGCATGGCTTCTTTTTCTTACCTTCGGGCTAGTTAATTCTACTCCCTGTAGGTCTGACCCTGTCTCTGATTTAGAGATCGCATTAAATGATCATAGCTTTGAAAAGTCCTAGATAAATTCAGTTGCTGGGCTTCTCTATGGAAATTCCGTGCATATTAGACTTTGATAATGCTAGAGCTGCCCTTAAGCAATAAAACTGGATATAGATTTTCAAACAAGCTTAAGTAAGGAGTGACATCCCTTTATTTATCATTTGCTCCCCAAAGGGTCTTATTTTAAAATTTTAAAATTACATTTAGCCTTCATTTAGCCAGGTAAATTTTCATGGGAGTATGCTGGTCTTGTTGTATTTGGGTCTTTTCCCATGTAAGATTGAGATTGTCTTGGCAATGTTTCGGCGAGGTCTCACATCTTTAGGCTGGTGTTTTCGGCTTAAAGCGTGGTCGGAGCTAACATCTTTCTATAAATCTTGGTGGGTGAGTGTGGAGTGCTGGCTTTGTTTCAGTAATCAATCAGTAAGTGGATTGATTGGTTGTGTGGTTCTCTATTTCGATGGCTTCCATAATTCCACTTCCACTTGTTGAAGTGTTGAAGTGTTAAATTTTGGAGATTAATTTGGTTCCTTCAAAATCAATTTCATGTCCTGTTGCTTTAAGGTGCTGGAAAAGGGAGGAAGTTTTTTCTTCTTTTCTGACTGCGTTCTTGTGTTCTGCAATGCATGCATTTATTCTCCTATTAGTTTGTCTAATGTATGTGGCTGGGCAGATTTTGCATGGTATTTCATAGACTCCTTGGTTTTCTAACTGGATTTTGTCTTTGGGGTTTCTTAAGATGTTGGCTATTTTTTGGTCAGTGATATTGTGTTTGTGGAGAATTTTGCTGGTTTTATCTATGGTGCCTTCGATGTAAGGGAGGAGGGCGATGCCGTTGTCCTGTTCTGTGTCTCGGTTCTTGGGAGGGTGTCTCCTTTTGGATTAGGTTGGTAATTGTGTTTCTTTGGAATCTGTTGGAAATTAATATGTTTGTGAGAGTGTGTAATTCAGTTTTCAGGTGGTCTTTGTCGGGTAGGCATTTGGTTCTGGAGATGATGGTCTTGGCTATGGAGTTAATCTGTGCAGGGTGGTGATGGAATTGTGCGTTTAAGTAGCGGTTGGTGTGTGTTTTTTTCCAGTAGATGGTATGTCCTAGGGAGCCATTGGGTTTTTTGTAGATTAGGATGTCCAGAAAGGGAAATTGGTTATTAGCTTCTATTTCCATAGTAAATTGTATTTTGGGGTGTATGCTGTTGAGATGTGTGAGGAAGTTGTCCAGTTTTTTCCTTCCCATGTGGCCAAATTATGAAAGTGTCATCTATATATCTAAGCCAGAGTTTGGGTTTGTGTTCAGATTTATCTAAGGCGTGGATTTCAAAATATTCCATGTATAGGTTTGCGTTGACGGGTGAGGGGTGACCTTGAAGACATTTCTAGGTAAAAATAACATTTCAAGTTGCATAGTTTTGTTCTGTCATTTGTATGATACGTTACTTAAGATTGGAAATTATTTTATTTTATTTTATTTGGATTTATTTTAGTAACTACGGTATGTTCTTAATTATTTTTAGACTTCATTATTAATGTTTTTCTCTTATGTAGACACACATATATATGTTGTTCTTAGATGCAAAGTTGTGTCCGACCCATCATGACCCCATGGACAACTTTCCTCCAGGCCTTCCTCTACCATCCTCTGGAGTCCATTTAAGCTCACACCTACTGCTTCAGTGACTCCATCCAGCCACCTCATTCTCTGTCGTCCACTTCTTCTTTTGCCTTCAATCTTTCCCAGTATTAGGCTCTTCTCCAGCAATTCCTTCCTTCTCATTAGGTGGCCAAAGCTGATCACATACTGTACATATAGAAGGGTTCAACACTTCTTTTATTCAACATTTAGATTGTATCTGGCTTAAGATGTAATAAATCTGAATTGAATTGCTCTATGCAATTTATCTACATTCGTTCCTTCTTTTCTCTCTTGATCAGAGCAAATCTCACTGGATCAGCCTAGGTTCAAGAGTTCTATGACTTCCTCACAGCAGCTTGCTGTCTTCTTCTATTTTTGGTTCTATTGTGTGCCTTTGGGTCAGTTTTTGACTCATAGCAACTGCCTGGATAAGTCTCTGCAGTTTTCTTGGCAAGGTTTTTCAGAAGTGGTATGCCATTGCTACCTTCCTAGGGCTGAGACAGACTGACTGGCACAAGGTCACCCATCTGGCTTTTACCTGAGGTGGAATTAGAGTTATAATCTCCTGCTTCTAGTCTGATGCTTAAATCAAACTGACTCATCTTCTTCTATGAATTGACTTAATTTACTGGGAATTGAAGGAGTTGCCACTCTTGTGTCACAGAGACTCAAGCTGGCTTCTTTCACAGTCTCAGTAGAGTAATTTCTTGATCATGATGCTGAGCATAAATGCTAACACAAACCACTCATGACATCTGAAATGAGCCATAAGCAGTTTGCAAGCAGTGGGAGCATCCAGAGGCATGATGGAGATTGCCACAAGCAGTCTGCAGGTCACTTCAGGATGCAGCAATAAAACTGAGAGACCTCCTCCACTGAGATTGTTAAATAACATGAAACATGCATGTGGAAAGCTAGGATGAGCCATGAATGGCACTTCCAGATAAGCAAATCCCTGCAAATAGGGAAAAGGGTCAGCTGGTGCAAGGAAGCCATTTTTACCCTTATGACCAAGCAAGGAGGGACAATATTAGTACACTGAAAAGAAATAAAAATAGCAATAGCACTTAAACTTATATACTGCTTCAAAGTGCTTTACAGCCCTCTCTAAGAGGTTTATAGAGTCAGTGTATCACCCCAAAGAATCTGGGTCCTCATTTTTACCAACGTTGGAAGGATCTAAAACTGAGTTAACCTTGAGCTGGTGAGGCTTGAACTGCTAAATTGTAGGCAGCCAGCCAGCAGTCAGCAGAAGTAGCCTGCAGTTCTGCATTCTAACCACTGTGCCACAATAGCTCTTTGATAGCCTAACCCTAATCCTTAACAAGCTACCTTTTAGGTGCATGGAAGCCCATCATCCATTTTCTATATACATTAAATAATTAAAAAACAACCTACTCCAAGGCCAAAACTGCAGAAAAATTACACATATACCAAAGTCATGTCTCTTTTTATCATAGCTATGTACAACCTTGAATAATGAAACTGGATAGCAAGCATTACCTGTACCCTTGGATAGGGAAGAATCAAGTACCTTATGTTCAAACACTTAATGAAATGTTGCCTAGAAACTCACATTCTTTTGGCATGCGTCTGAGAAGATTGATGCACAGTTTCAATACAAGGATTCAGAGAGGAAAGTAGCCTTTATTGCACTATTTACCTACAGGACCTGCTGGCTCTTTTGTTTTATATAGTTTTACGTAGCTCATTACTTATGAAAAAAGTGAATAGAAGATGTGGGAGATCCTTCTTTCCTTTTCTAATCTGTGATAGCATCTGTCATCTCTTCAGCTACAATGTTCTTAACCTTATTGCTAATAATAATTGTGGTGCAATTAATTCTTTCTCCACATCCTCATTCAAATTCAAATAGAATTAAAAGGGGCATTTTCACATAAAGCACCATTTTTTTCTAAGGAATCTACAGGGCATCTGGAATACCTAGTTCTTATCTGGAGTTGGTAGCAAAGAAAACTCAGTTTTTTTCTTTTTCCACACCAAGTGTTTGGACTGTAAAAAGAAACCAGGGCAGAAAAAACTTTGAATAGTTGTCCTCTGAATCACCAAGCCTGCCTAGCCTTTAAGAAGGCAAGATAGGGAGTATTTTTCCCCTCTGGCTTTGGCATTAAATCAGGGCTCCTAACCTTGCTGACTCAGAAGATTCAAGGAGAATGTTTGTTTAATAGCGCTTAGCTTATTCTAGATAAAAATGGCCAATAAGTGGGAGGGGGAGGGGGAAGTCATTCCCCTCAATCTTGAGGAATGGAAGGAAAGTAGTTCTGAATAGAGTGGCTATTCACCCTTGTTATCTGCAAGCCCTGTCACCATTTAAAACAGCCCATAATCCTCTTCCACCTCTAGCTTAGAGGAAGACAGAGAGAAGATGCCAGGAGTCCAACGTCTTCCTCTCTGATTCAAATGGTTGGAGTGGTGCTTTTCAGGGAATATAGTGCAGTAAAAGGATTTTAAAAGTAGTTGTTTGTTCATTGTGTGTTTTTCCTTTTACTATAACATTTTTTCCCAACTAAAGCAATTTTAGTCGGTATAACTTGCTTACCTGTATTAGTGCAAGATGAATTTCCAATTCAGCAATTCGCTTGCCTATGCAACTTCGAATGCCATAACCAAAAGGGATGGATCCAAAATTATCTACCCTATCCATATTGGTTTTCCTTAGCCAGCGTTCAGGTTGGAACTCCTTTGCTGAGGCAAAATTATCTTCCTGATATGAAGTAGCATAATGACAGAGTGCCAATTGTGTCTAATAAAGTAAATATATTGTAGCATACATATATCAATCCCCAAGTGCCTGTACTTTTTTATAATTTCACAAATATCAATAACAGTATGACAAAAATGTTTGACATATTATATATCACTTCAAAAATTATTTCAAATAAAATCACAATAGCCTTGAATTAGTGTAATAGTCATGGTTGCAATTATGACAACAATTAGAATAATAATTGTATTTATCAAGTTAGTATTTAAACCTGCCAGTATTTTTTAACCTCATAAAAACATTATTTTAAAATTTACTCAGTATTTGTGAGAGGGGGAATTTGTAACCAAAGTCTATCTCATCAGATCCACCTTAATTAGATTTAATAAATTAGCAATGCAATTTAGCAATTCAATGTCTGTTTTAGAAATGTGTTGTTGTCCACAATGTATTATAAATCACCACTGAGATACTTAGGGTCCCTTTCACGTGGCTGCTCACCCCATCATAAGCAACATTTTTACACTTGTTCATTTGCTGGCAAATAACCTAGTTTTCCTTTCCTTGAGCAAGGTCAGTACTGAGTACTATTCACTCCAATTAATCAGAGAGTACAAAAATGAGACCTGTCCAAGAGTCTACCTTCTTTTTTGTCCTTCCATCAGCACAACTATGAAGAAAACATTTTTAAAAAAACAAAATTTAATTGGATAGAAATGGCAAAGCAGGATTGATGGTAGAATTGTATTTTGAAGGTGGAATAAAATGTGAGTTCTCATTAGTGGGAAACTCTTTACCCAGCAACTCAGAATCAGACTGCAAAGCTATCTTGATTATTAACTTAGTTTCCCAACTCCCGTGGCAGTTCCATAACATGTAGGAATAACACTAGTCCACCCATGTGGCAAAGAATTAGGAATAGAAGATAAGGAGTATGTTCTATTGCTTTCTCTAATATGTGCTACGTTATTCCTGATCTAACTTTGTTGGTCTGTTTTTTTCCACATTATTCAGTGCCATAATTTGAGGAATGTTTAAGTTCTTTGTTGGGTCTGGACAGATATTGTTCAACTGTTATCAATGGTTATTTCAACAGCATATCCATTATTGTGAAGGTAATGTGATGTAACATATCTGACCACAAAGGGTAAGTTGTGAAAGTTGCTGAATTGATATTTCTTCAAGAAACTGTGATACCCTGTATCTCCACAGAACTGTGCATATTTTTAACTCTATTGAAATTCGGGAAATGTTTTCCACCAATCACTGAGCAGGATTTAAACCAAAATATAGTAGCATACTGGTTCAATCTGAGGAAAGCTTTATGAGATTTGAAGGGAACAAAAATGACCTGAACAATAGAGTACAAGAATCAGTGTTTTCATTACTGAGCAGGGAAACAAATAGTTAGGAAAAGTGAAACAGGAAAAATATGCTCATCCAAATAGAATGCTATATTCTAACTCACTGGTGTAAAATGAACTTTTATTCAATATGCAGACATTTTTAATAGTTTTTTTAGTCAAATTTCTAGAGCTTTGATTCTTCATTAGGAATTCCATTAACAGGTTCAAAAGCCTGAAAACAATTCAAATTCCTATTCTAGAGTTTCACATAAGAATACTATTTATAAATCATAATTCAAGGATAGACAGTTAAGAGGTATACTTTTTCAGTTCTTGAAGTAATAATCTCATATTAAAACTAAATAAATCAAATCTGAGATAATTTCTTAGTTCATACTTTTATATACAGTGGTACCTTGGTACTCAATTGCTTTTAAAGTCACCAAATTTGATATTCAATGCATTCTGACATTAAAAAAAAATCCCAGTACTCATCATTTCCTTGGTAATCAATGCACAAGCTAGAATTTGTCATTGTTGGATGCCTTGCAATTCACTATATTATTCCTTATGGGGAAATTTTTTTTGGTACTCAGAGTTTTTGATACTCATCTCACCTCCTCAAACCAATTAACAATCAATACTGAGTTACCACTGTACCCAAAATAAACCTGCAGCTTATTTTTTTCTCAGTCTTTTGATAGAATCATTACCCTACTTACCCCTTTAGGTATCAAGTAGCCTCCAACAATCATATCTTTCTGCGTAACTCTTCCATTTCCTGGTAAAACTGGAAATAATCTATAAATAGGTGTCAATTAGATATTTAGTGACTGTATGATTATATTCAGAATATTTTGATGATAATACATTACATTATTCAGGATCACAAAAAAATCTTAGAGAAATTGTGAAGAGTTTCAGATTGTATAATTGTTAATAGAATGAGATAAAATATTAAAAGTGTTGAATAATTCAACAAGATATAATAAAATCCTAATTTCACAGAATATAAATTGGTTGAAGCAAATGTAAGAAACGGCTTTTAAAGATATGTCTAAATATTTTTTAGCTTTAATGTCATTTTTCTAAAACTAGTTCTCATAGCTTAACCATTAAACACACCATCGTATCTGGTAACAATAAATGTATAAAAAAAACCTTAAAGCAATGTGATCAGTAATCCAAGGTAAACCAGACAGGTAACTTGACCAGATGAGCTAATTCAACTTTATTGTAAGGCTACATATTAACAGAATCTTGCAAGTCTGAAAACACAAATCTCCCACCAACACTTTTAACTGCCTAATCCTTTAAGGCAGGTCTTTCTAAAGTTTTGTTCTCTGACTCTTAAGCCATTGGGGAATCCCCCCTCTCCTGTCTGATCGTTTCCTAGGCAGTATCTCTTCCCATCAATCTCACATGCCATTACAAATCCTATACAATTTTAGCTAGAAATATTCTCACAAAGTTCAATGGAGTGACTTTATAATTAATCAGACACATATTGCACAATACAATGATAAAGAAAGTGAAACATCCTTTTTAGCTAGAAATCATACAAGGCAATTACAATATATTTCTAGAAGGGACCACTGTATACAATGTACTTCTAAATAAAGCAATTTGCTTGGGGTTTTGGTCTTTTTTGGTATACCTTTTGTACAGAATAAATCAAAATAATGTTTAATGCTATAATAGAATTCATTGGAGACAATAAGAAATTTTAAGAAATTACATATTTGTTTATTTTAGGCCCCATCTTTCCATCTTGCCCTAGAAAATGATGATTTCAGAAGAATTTATCCAATTTCATGGAAAATAAATCCATTCTTGTTCTAGTTGACAAAGTAACCTTCATGTTCAAAGGTTGTATATTTCCCATTATCTTTACTAAGAGAATATATTTATTCATCATTATTTTCTGTTTTCTAAATTTTCTGTCAGCTAATGTTGGAGATAGAGTTCAGATTAAAAATAATAGGAAATCGTATTTTCCTGTTTGAAAATGAAACAGCATGAACTCTTGAGGTCTTGTGCTCATTCTCTTTGGCTTATAAGAGACTAAAAGCTTCTCCTTTAGCTTTTGAACATATAGCTGGGCTTGATGGCTAAAAAGCTCCCATCCTTGCCTTCGCTCCAGCCAACCTAGCAGTTTAACAGCATGCAAATGTGGGTAGATAAATAAATACCACTTCAGTGGGAATGTAACAGCACTTTATGACATCAAGTTGTCCACATGACCATAAAAATTTCTTTGGACAATGCTAGCTCAATGGCCTTGAAATGGAGATGAGCAACGCTCCCTATAGTTGGCAACAACTAGGGGAGTAAAATCTACATTTTATTTTTTTCAAAAAAAAATGTTTTGGCATTTATGGAACTAAATTTTCTAGTGTAGTCAAGTAGTCTAGTACCTATTGGTAATTAATAAAGATAAACTATTATTTATTTCTGTCTTGTTTTAATCAGAGGGGCAAAATATAAATCTATAAACTGAGTTCAGACACAGAATTTGAGGATCAAAATGAAGATTAGTTCAAATGTTTAAGGGAAACTTTTCTATGTCTTCTCACTGTATATAAAAAAACAAGAAGTGAGCAAGTGTTGGCACAGCAAAAAAAACCTCTTCATTCTGTGTCTAAAAGGAGAATAAATAAATTGCTAGCTCTTTTATCCCTATCCATGTTTCATTCATGTTGTATGAATTTGTCTAACAGTTTGCAAACAAAAATGAGGAAAGTTTATTAGCTGCAAAGCTACTTTTTCACCTGTATTTCTGGATTAGATTAGATTAGATTACTTTATTTGTATGCTGCCCTTTTCCCTGAGGGGACTCAGGGCGGCTCACAATTCAAGGGGAGGGAAAGACAGACAAGTTACAAACATGAAGACATACATCGTTAAAAGCGCAACAGTCATACTATTCGAGTGGGGTTAAAGTCTTTAGCCCCAGGCCTGTCGGGACAGCCAAGTTTTAAGGGCTACGCAGAAGGTCTGGAGGGTGGTGAGGGTACGAATCTCCACGGGGAGTTCGTTCCAGAGGGTCGGAGCAGCCACCGAGAAGGCTCTCCTCCGGGTAGTTGCCAGTCGAC